GGTGGGGGTGCCTGGTGGGGGTGCTTGGTGGGGGTGCTTGGCAGGATGCTTGGCAGGGAGAGCTGGAGCAGAGCTGGGAGAGCCACAGCCTGGAGATTAGAGGTCAGGGCAGCCTCCCTGAGCCCTGAGGCCTGTGTGAAGTTCCTCAGCCAGGAGACGGAACCCACCGTGAGAACACACGGGGTGGAGTGGGAGGGGGTGGCTGTGAGTTCAGCTGGCTGAGGGCAGCAGCCAGGACTCCTGACAAGCAGGAGGACAGAGACTGCCCTGTGGCAGCCCCTCCTGAAACCGTGTCCTGGAGGGAAGAGGTACCGGGCGGGGGAGACACTAAGACAAAAGGTAGAGGCGAGAAAGGCTCGGGAGGGAGGCCAAGCTCCGAAGGCCCTGTGGCCGGGCCACCCACCCACGGTGCTGGGGGCAGAGTCCAGGGTGCACGCCTGCGGGGCCTGTGCTGGCCACAGGGCCATGTGCAGAGGGGTCGGCAGACACCCTTCCGGCCGCAGACGTGGGGCTCAGGGCCAGGCCAGCCTCTCTGCCTCTGGAGGTGCCAGCTGCCGGGCAGTGTCGCTGTGCCTGCTTAGGCGCCTAGTAACCCCCACTAGAAACTTACAGAGAAGGTCTGACAGCTATTTTCCAACACATTATTTTTCTCCCAAGGTCCAGTCGAGGCTCCTAGCTGGTCACTGGTCATGTCAACGCACCTAAAACTTCTAAACTCCTCAGCTCTCTGGGTGCTGGGAGCGTGGCTGGAGGAGGGGTTCCAGGCAGAGAGAGGAAGCGGGGGTGGGGGGGGGTGCAGAGAAGCGGTAGATGAAGCTGGGGAAGCTGCCGCAAACTGTCTCCTCCATTCACTTCTCTGTGTTGGTGTCCTATGCAGACAGTTTCTAGCCCTTGGAGCTCCCCCACCTCCGGCAGCTGCAACGCAAATCCCTGGGTCGTCTTGTGTGCGTGGCGGGGCCTCTGGACGCCCAGGTGAGGATGGAGGGAAGGACAGGCCGGGTAACGGGAATTCAAAGAGAACGGGCATTCTTCACAAGGCCTCATTCACAGCAAATGGGAAGCAGATTTAAAACATTTTCCTGCTGCTCAATGGAGCAAATGAGGAAGGCAGAGGGCTAGGTGGTCCCGGAGGGAGGGCAGATCTCTGAGGAGGATGGCCCTGCCCTGGGTAGGACAGGTGAGGGTGAGCGGGAGCCTGAGCCTTGGGCCCAGATCGCAGAAGCGCTGCAGTGCCCGGCGCTGCCTCTGGACGGCGGTGCCCTCAGCTCAGGGCCGGAGTCAGGAGGCAAAGCATCGGGTGGATCCCGGTGTCAGGCCTCCTGGGAGGATGCTGGTCCAGGGAACTAGCTTGGAGAAAAGAAACCTGCGGACACACTAGGTGTAAGGTCACCTAACATGAAGGCAGGGAGTCCCAGTTGGGAAGCAAGAATGAAGAGTCGGCTGGGCTGGTGGCCAGAGCTGGAGACTCGAGCTTTCAGGGAGGCAGGCTGCTCAGGAAGGAGGTTGGCGAGCCAAGACGAAGCCTCGGCCAGCGGCTGCCCCTGGGCACGCCAGGATGGCAACAGAAGGGGGTGTGAGGGGACGACAGGAGAAGTCTCTGGGGGGAGTAGGCTGTGACCACAGTGCAGTGCTATCAAAATCCACAGGGAGCCCAGTGGGCGGCCCAGGAGAGCTGCCCTCACAGGGGCAGGGACCAGCGGGGTAACGGCAGAGCCTCCTCCGGCTGCACTGACTGTGGGGGCTACTGTCAGAGGGGCTAGGAATGCTTCCAGCCAAGCCACAGCTCTGCTCTTGTTGCTGCCTAGGGCCACAGGCGGTGGCGGGGGTGACTGCTGAGGGCCCTGCAGGAGCCCAGGACGCCAGCCCGTGTCCCGGAGGCACAC